GGTGGTGGTGGTGGTGGTAGTGATGATTATGATGAGAACGACGAGACAACAGTGAGTGGAGTTTAAGGCCCGGCGCAGCGTTTTGATATATCGTGTAGTGCCTACATAGCCGTGATGCATAAATTGGACTGTCTCGCTGAAAGAGCGGTGCAATGGTGCGAGCTCCACAAAACTGAAACCAGTTTGCTCGCGCCTCACCACCGAAGTCGCACCCCAGTCCAATCCAATTCAATCGTCTACCTCTCTTCGCGGTGTACGCGGACCCCGCCTTACTCAGGGCCGTCGTGAGGCGCCCGGGTTACCCCGGCGTCGCGACTCGCCCGTCCAATGGGAACGGCCGCAGCGTTTTTAAATACCGTTTTACGTTATCGTCTCTTTTACAGAGATCGCGTACGAGAATTTCAACTGTATTCCGTATATTCGAACTTATTCTCGGTGCATTACGCGGAGACGCCGTTGATTTGCATAGTTAGCTGAACATCGCTTTTATTGTGTAGCGCGAGTTTTTATATATTTCTGTATAATCGAGTATATCTTTGAAAGTTATTGTTTTTAAGATGTAATAATTAAACCAAGCGGTGGCAAATTAATCGCAACACTGTGATGTGTGAAAGAACTAGCGAATATCTTCCATAAAATTTGTTTATATAAAACGTTATAGGGACATAAAACTGATTGAAAAATGAAAATTCAATAAATCTCGCAAGCCATTTCTTTTGATATCCGTGATAAACTGTTACATTATTAAAATACGCCCTGATTTGCGCAATCTCTAGACTTTAACAAAATAAGGGAGAGAAAGAAATAGAGAAAAGAGAAAGTAAAAAAAAGCACGCACCCGTTTGCACGATGAGGCAACGTCGAAGAATTCTTCGCCTCGAGAGCAGAATCGAGGTTTTTAAAAAAGTTCAAACGAATCGCGAAACCAAAAGGGAAGCCAATCATAAATGTCCCCCTCTCCCGTCCCTCCCTTTCTAACAGCAGAAATTTCGTGTGCCGAGTCGTAGACACGCACGCTCACGAAAACGACGCGTGTCTGTGACCTCGACACGTCTCCGCGCGTCCGCGTCTCGCCGAAAGAAAAACGGTCAGCGATCTCGACGAGCGCGACGAACGGGATCCGCCGGCAGTGTTACGGCCCTGCGTGCTAACCGTAAGCCACCCGTCTGGTCGGAGCATGCACCCGCGTCCCTCCGACGGCACGGCGTGGCGCGGCGCGACGAAGGCGCGAGCGAGAGCGAGGATACCGTCGGCTGCCTAACTCGCTCGCTCACTCTCGCCTTGCAGAAACCTGTTCGGCTCGGAACTTTTCTACTTTCTTGACGATTATTTTTATCTGCTGAGAATCGCACGCAGCAGGCAGGCAGGCAGGCAAGCAGGCAGGCAGGCAGGCAGACGGGCAGACAGGCTAGCCGGCCGGCCGGCCGGCCGGCCGGGTGCCGTACTATGCCGCATTACGTTGCGTCGAGCCGCGCCACGGCGTGTCGCGCCGGCTCTGCCGGAAGCGGGCCATCCTAAAAACTATCAACGGTTGGACGGACCGGCAGGCCGCACTCTCGCCACAAAAATTTAATTCTCCTCAAGTACCATCGGCGCGTACACTGTACGCCTTCCTCTCTTTCCCCATTTCCCGTTTCATTTCATTCCTTCTCTCCCTCCCCTCCCCCCTCCTCTCTCTCGCTCTCTCGCCTCTTTGTCCTTTTCCCACATTCCTTCTCTCACGTCGCGTCGCCGTCTTTGTCTCTCTATGTTCTCGCGCTATCTTTCTTTGTTTCTTCCTTTCTCTTTCTCCCGTTCGGTAATACCCGATTCCTCACGTTGTCCTCATCGCACCAATCGACCGTCTGCGCCGCGCAGACAATGCACTTTTTTGCACAGTCTTCGCGCTCGCCATTGTCGTGGGAGGTTAAAATTTAAGCGGGCGCGCCAATGAAATTTCCGTTCGCGTTTTCGGAGGGTCCGCGAGGATTCGCGGATTTACACATTTGCGCGACGACTGCGTTTTTGTATTTATATATTTCGCAATGTGCCAGACGTGTTGCATTTGACACCGAAAAGCCGTAAAGCGCACAGAACAAACGCGCCCGTTTTCGTCGCGGCTCGGCATCGGCGAATTTTGTACAAAAAGAGAAATTAATTGTGTAATAAACCGTTGTAACATTTGGGCACACGTAATGAGTAGAATTCAATTTTTCACTAGCGTCAACTGTTATATTTAAAAAATTAACATGGTATTATCGCAGATTTAATCTGCATCCTCGAAAAGCGAAACTTGGAATTTTTTGTTCCCCTCAAATATAATCACGGTTCTTTTGTCTCTTGCAAATATTTCTCGCATTCGCACAAGCTGATCAACAAAAAAATCTCTTTTTCCTCACATTACATCGTATCGTATATCATTAATTTATAGGAGTTAAAGGAAAATTAAAAGAATACAGAATGTTCTTTAATTCGAATGTTTCTAATCATTTCCCAAGTGCATGTTGTAAATTTAGCACACTTTCCGTTAATTCAGTCAAGTAGATAATTTTTTTAATGAAGTGTCGATTTAAAAAAGGAAAAATAGGCGGTAAGTACATAAAAAAATATTTAAATGTATGTATATTAAACAAAAACTTAGCAACTCAAAAATAGATATAAAATCAATTTAATTAGCCAAACATTACTGAAAATGAGATAAATTTAAATCTTAAACATTTTTTTAGTTACTACATATTTAATTAATAAAATTTTGTTTTATTTTCTGTGGTTTCAGACAAATTTTACGTCACATAAATGGACTCACAATAAAATCAATTTTTGTTGTATAAAAACTTCGTATGCCTCTGGTTGTGAGTCACATTTTAATACACATACATTTCTACAGACATGTTAATTCTTTTATATTTTAATTATAATTCGTAAATTTTGATTTTAAATATTACTTACAATATAACATGATATATAATTTAATACAATACAGAAATATTATGCTTGTATTATAATATTTAAAGATACCTACTCGTTTTAAAAACTTACGATTTTCTCAAATGACGAATGACACATTATATTATTAACTGTACAATGTAGTCTCGTGAAAAATGTTATTTTTGAGATTACTTTTTATTTAACTTACCAGATCTCGATCGGGAAAGATTGCACCAATTGCATTCGAACACCGATTATAATAGACAGTTCATATCGATATTATATAATGATGTCGTTAGATATTTTAGAATTTTTACTTCTGAAATATTAAAATACAAAATTTGACAAAGCGAAAATACTAAATAACCTGGTAGCTCTGACGATGCAGTGCTGTGGTCGCCTAATTCCCAATACCCGGTACATCCGGCAATTCTCTTTTTATATACTTGGTGTCGCGATGCTACCGCGTCTCTTGATTTATACACATGAATACTAACTTCACATACTTTTTACCATGCATCTAATTGTGTTCAAAATTTAAACATTAAAAGCGTATCGTGAGCCATTAAACATTATTCTTCTGCAAAAATATACGTAATTGAAAGCTGCCAGTCAGCAAAATGTTAACAGATAGGCTGACAGCAGATTCATCAGAAACCCACACCAAAACCTTAGCTATCTGTGTTGTTTTGGCTTTTGTTTTGGCAACAGAGTCTGTAAAACGCACGCAGTCAACAGATTGTCAGCAGAAACCGAGCAGGTCCAGTTGTGTGAGCAGATTTTGTTGTATTTCTGCTGACATGCTGGCAATATGTCGAAGGTATCAGTTCCTTTTTGCCATTAAATTTGTAGTGGGCACTTGACGAAATCTGTTCCGACAGACTTGGCTGTCTGGGCCGTTGTTAAAACATTTTATTTGTAATTATCGCGACTTGGGCGACCTTTTCATTACTGTTATACAATGACAAGCCGGATGAGCGATACAATTATTTCCGGCAAACGTTGTTGAATATTACGTGTACTTTTACAATATCAAGAAGAGGCATACGTAACCCAACGGAGAAGCATTGGGGCGCAAGGCAGCGGATGACGATTTTTTCTGACGACAATACTTAATGACACCGCGTTGCACAGGTTCGGTTTGTTTCCCACGTTAATATCGGCGATCCGCACCACGAGTGCAGACAGTAAGGAAGATTTTTCTCAGGAGGGCCTCCCCCCTGCCCAAGCCAGCATAAACAGCGTGGTATTAACCGTGGGGTCCCCCCCCCCCCCCGGCAGACCCCCAGCGAGTCGTGCTCGCTGTCTTCTCGCTCTCCTTCGCAAACTCGTTTACCACTAAGAGAAATTCTCCCTTTTTCGCAGATGAATAGGGGTGAACCTGTATTGCAGGACAATAATACCACCGCCCGGCGGAACAGCCGTACGTAACCCGGACGAAGGATTGTGAGGGGGACAGAGAAGGGAGAAGAAGAGCCCGATTCCCTTGGGGGGTCGTTGGACCAGGGCGCTATGTGGATTATCATAATAAAGGCCGCCTAAATGTTATCTCGTATTAAGTCATACTTTTGTTTTCCTCTTGTGCGCTCTGGGAACTGCTTTTACGCGCGCAGCAAGGGAAGTGCGCTTCTTTATTTCCGCGCACGACACACTCTGTGTAAAACTCGAGATGCACTCGGACGCCATTCAAGAGGGGGATGAGTCGAATCGCATGACGAGACACGGCGCAAAAGACCTCCGGGTGGAATTCTAATAAGAATTCAGGGGATCTCCTTCGATCGAATGATGCTCAATCGATCTGAATCGGAGAGAGTTCGGGAACCCGTTTTAGGTTAGCTCGAAGCGCGGGAATTTTTAAAGAGATATGTCGAAACACGTACAATACAAAAAGACTGTATGTCACACACGCAAATGCTATTGAAACACAAGTTAAGAAGACGAATACGAGGCAAGAGCTCTGGAATTACCTGATCAATCTATCAACCCTTATAGAAATGTAAGCGAAATAGTTACCAGAAAATTACTGTGCGTCAGTAATTTACAATAATTCAATTACTGAACTTTAATTGTTCAGTGCTTCTTTTCGTTCCCAGTTGTTACATTTCTGTAATGGAACGAATCAATATTTACTTAATAATTTTGCCGGCAACAAAAATGAATTTTATCATTATCTGTGGTATATAATAGTTAAAAAATTGTTTCCAATTAATCCGACATAATCGAACTGTGTTGAAATAATTAGATGTTAACATGATTTCGTTACACACTCGAGCAGAACGAGGATTCACGATAATGTCAAAATAACGTTAGATTGAAGTGGCGTTAAAGTGACTTTTAATAGTCAATTTTCAAGTCGTTTTAACAACAATTTGATATCTTCTTGTTCCGCTTGGGCAATTGTTAATGAAACAGTGTGATTAATATAGAGAGTGTTCCGAAATGTCCAGAGTATTGAAAATCTGTAGATCATGTCGCATATACTATAGTTTTTCAGTGCATAGAACATACCTGTATGGACTTCATATATTATACAATCGTATTCTCTCGACTTAGACTCGATTTCACCAACGTCGCTTAACTTTAACCTTAGCTTCACTTATCCTTGGTGTCTTTCTAATTGCCCCCTTAGAAAGAGGCGAAGAATGCGTTAATATAAGATTAAGGATGCTGGAGAAGCCGGGTCTTATTGTTAGACATTTTTCTGAAAAAGAAACCATTATGCTATAATAATATGCACACTGATACTAGACACGTGCAACAGGTGCACAGGCACAAAGTCCAAGGTGCAAGGGGGATTCCTGAAATAAAAGTGACAAAAAATTAAGTATTTTCAATTTTTTTAAATTAAAAAATTTCGAATTTATTAAATTCTAAATTTGCGTTATTTAGCAATTAAGTACTCGATTCCTCGACGCAATAATGGTTATATCGTGTTTCTTTTTACATTTGTCACGTTAACAATATATTTTTCGTATTTTTTCAGTGTGGAAACTTATATATATTTTAGAAATCTCGAGTTGCGACTGTTGAAAAAATCTGTTGGGTATTTTGATAATACACTTTCCCCTATTATTTCAATTTTTTATTTCGCATACATAAAAGTAATAATTTTTCAGCATTCTAAATATTTGTCTCTGAAGATAGACTTTCGAATTATAAATAATATTCGAGAAGATTTAGATCTCTGTGCGATGGACTTGTCTAGTAACTTTGAAAAGATGGATTCAAACGGTCGCTACACGCGTCGGGAGTCAACACCGACGCGACATACACCATCGATGACGTCACGACCGAACGAATCGTGGAGACCCGTGGACTGGGCGTGTTTACTCCGAACGTTCGGTCGACGCGATCGAAGGATCCGCGCGAGGTAAGAGGATTCGAAAATCATTTCCACCGACGTAGCGATACATCAAAGTCCGCGTGCAATAAAGGACTAGATCCACAAGAGACATATTTTAACGTGGTTTCCTTTACGTAAACTATATAGTACCCGAGAGAAACGCGAGGGCACGCGACCAAGGCAGAATGCACGAGGTGGATTGAAGTTGGAAAAAGTGCCTTCAGCGGTGACGCACCGCCGACTCCAATTGGCCTGGTTGAGAAAGAAAGCGCGTACTTGTCGAAGCCATGGCCAGTATTTTCCAGGCGGTAACGACGATCGTCGTTGCCTGTTGGTTCTACTGCCTGCTGGGCGTTGTCGGCCAGTACGAGTGGCAACCACAGGACACATTCGACGATGTCCGCACGCAGATGGACAAGGTGAACCACGACAACTGCCCGATACAGCACCTCGGCGACTTGTATCTGCCAATAGACGCGGTGTCGCATCTGCCCGACGCAAAGGACATCAACATCAACCCGGTGTTCCCGAATCGCACGGCCCTGCTGCACCTTTATAACATGGCGCAGAGCAGGAGCTTCTTCTGGAGCTACATCCTGCAGTCGCGCTTCATCCGACCGGCGATCAACGACACCTACGACCCAGGCATGATGTATTACTTCTTCTCCACGGTGGCAGATGTTGCCGCCAACCCGTACATCAATGCGTCGGCCATCTATTTCTCGCCCAATATGTCTTACTCGCCGTCCTACAGAGGCTTCTTCAATAAGACTTTTCCGCGATTCGCGCCACGGACCTTCAGGGCGGATGACTTCAACGATCCCATACACCTGGAAAGGATATCCACCAGAAATACATTTATTGTGGAGGATTTAGGGGCGTTTCCCAGTACCAGGCTCAGCGACGATTACACCACTGATTTTTATCGTATAAACGAATGGTATGTGGAAAGGATAAAAGCTATGGCGCTGTGGAAAAAGATTTAACTAACACTTAACATGTATATAATTATCCTACTTTTGTATACTGTACCATGAGGTAAATTTCGCCGATTGATCGATAAGATTATATACTTTTCTATTTATTCTATAAATTAATTTACTTACAGGTACAAGATGTGGTTGCCAGATGTGGTAGAAAAGAGGCACGATACTAAGACGACGTACCAGGTTGAAATTCGCTATGCCAACAATACAAATGAAACATATACTTTCCACGGCCCACGCGGTAATGAAGGAGCTATAGAAGCTAGCCTAAGGTGCCAAAGTTTCATTTTTCATCGATTTTATCACGCGCAGATGCTGACGAAAATCCTGGACCTGTCAAGTGGACCAGACCATATTTCGATTGTGGCCGATCAAATCGATGGCTCGTAGCCGCGGTATCACCTGTGGCAGATATTTATCCACGACACACTGGCTTCAGGCATATCGAGTACCCAACGTACACTGGCATTTCAGTAATGGAGATGGACTTTGAGAGGATAGATATAAATCAATGTCCCAAGAGTCCAGGGAACGATGGTCGTAACAGATTCGCAAATACCTCAAAGTGCAAGCTCGATACTACCGAGGTATACGTTTAACATTTTATCATCCAAACGCACTTATTAATTATTGACAATTTAACGGATACACATGTATGTCTGGTTGCAGTGCGAACCGATACATGGTTGGGGCTTCAGAAAAGGTGGATATCAATGTAGATGTAAACCAGGTTACAGATTACCGACCGTAGTACGACGATCTTATCTGGGTGAAATAATAGAGAGAGCGACGCAGGAACAATACTACAATAATTTTGATTGCTCGCGGATTGGCTGTATGTATTCTCGTATACTTGATCGCGGTATCACCTGGCGCAAAGTCTTTTCAACAAAGGTTTCGCTCCGCAGGGGTTCATAAAACACCAGCGCAATGGGAGAAGATGAAGCCGTACATCAGAGAAAAATATCTCACGCAGAATAATCATTATAGAAATCATTCGACCGGTCCGGCTGCGCTTCACGACACAAAGCTGAACATTGACGAGTCTCTCAGATTTATTCTGGGTGTGAATGCGAGGACCTGTAATAGGTACGCATCGCTTCCCATTATCGCAACGTACACTTCTTATTATCGAGATTAACGAATTTGAACAATTTCCGAATTGTATTTTTAGTTATGCGCCGCAAGATTTGGTGCTACGCGGAGACATTAGCTTCGGTGCGGAAGAGTTCTTCGAGAACGAAGCGAAAATGGCGGTTAGATTGGCAAACTTTATCAGCGTATTTCTACAAGTATCAGATCCCTTGGAAGTTTACTCGGGCAAAAGAGTAGCCGACAAACCTCTCACGGAAGATCAAATGATAGGGGAGACCCTGGCTCTGGTACTCGGCGATTTAAGGATATTGTCAGCTGGCACCTTTTGGGACCGTAATAAATTTAGCAACAGAACGTTCTTCGCTCCGTACGCTTATAGGTCGACTGATCGCAACTTTCGCGTTGAAGATTTAGCGAGGCTCAATGCCACAGGTAAAATAAAATAAAATTATTTACATAGCAAAACGGGAATATAACTTAAAATTGAAATGTACATTTTCATTCAGATTCTCTTAATAGATTTAGATTTATTAGTCAACCATGTTCATAAGCGCATAGATATTTTTAATATATGCCCTAATACAATATATCTATGTATATATTAGTTATATTATATAATACAATTTATTATTACAGATGAAGCATATATGAAGAAGAGTTATTTCAAAGTATTGAAGCAACGTTGGGCAACGAATTTTGATCAACTAGAGAAATATTATATGAAAATAAAAGTTCGATCCAATGAAACTGGCGAGCACTTGAAAAAGTTCGAGCACTATCCAACTGATTACAGGTGAGAGAGAACGTGTATATCGTTTGTTAGTGCAAAACTCGCACAATGACGATTCTATTTTATCGATACGTTCCGAAGCGATAATAATATATGGCGGAGCATTAAAGTATAAAGGGATTACGTTCCCGAAAGCTTGGGGGCGAGGGGGAGGGGAATCCGATCTCTAAAGTACGATTTATTCTAATGTATGGGAACGCGGCGAATGGGTCGTCTGTGTAGGGCAGCAAACCTGGACCATGGACACTGGACCTCTCCGTACTTCGATTGTAACGGCAAGGTGAAGAAGTGGGTAATTACCTATGCATCCCCATTTTTCGGCTGGGACAGCTTGAAGGCGAAACTGGAATTCAAGTGAGTGTTCTCATCGAGGTGCGATCACACATGTAGAAAAAGGAGTGCGTTTCTGTGTACGCGTGTATATGCATGTATGTATACACGTACGCGTGCACTGTACGTGCGGGCGTGCAGATATGTATGCGTACGTTTGTGTGTGTGTACGTGTGCGTATACATCTGCGCGCGCACACGTGTGTATTAGAGAAATTTAATATGAGAGACACTGTAGATACACAGAACCAGTTTTGTAATAAAAGGGAAGAGATGAGGAAGATCATATTTAAGAGTAAGACACTTACAGGGGTGTCGTAGCTGTTACCATGGATATGCTTCGACTGGATATAAATCAATGCGATGATAAATTTTACCAACCAAACGCATTCAAGGATACGCACAAGTGCGACAGAAAGACCTCATATGTAAGCTGGCTTATTTTATTGTATTAAATAACAATGTCGGAAATATTTATGCTATGTAAACTCGGAATATTGCAAGAGAACTTTAATGTTTCATAATCCCGAAACATTTTCAAACTAATATAATTCTACATGTTAATTTTACTATTGACAAACTTTAAATATTCGATTTTCACAGTGCGTACCAATCCTTGGGAGAGGATTTGAGACAGGTGGATACAAATGTGAATGCAAGCAAGGCTTTGAATATCCATACGAGGATACATTTACATATTATGACGGGCAAATAATGGAAGCTGAATTCAATAATCTTGTTGATGACAACGCAACAAGGTTTCATTATTTTATATCTTTCTTCTTTTGTAAACGTTCGAAGATTATGTATTTTATTTTAAAATCATCTAAAAATTACGTAACAGCATTATGATTTATAAATCTCATCACGATTATTACAATTATTTGTTATATTAATGATTTATGAATATTATTTCAGATATGATATGTTCAAATGTCGATTGGCTGGTGCTGCATCGATTCAAGTTAGTTGGGTTCTATTGCTGTTGGTCCTGATAGTCTTTCCAGTTCAAAGAGGACGAATATGAAATACTCTTAGTATTTTCTAAGACAAAATATCTACAGTTACACTTTTTTACTGTATTAGCTACCTTTTTCAAGCCGTCCATAATGTAAGCCGTCCATGTAAATGTAAGTTAGTTACTGTTATTGAACACACACGCACACATACACACACACACAGGCATACATTACAGAAGAAGTTACTAAATAAGATTTTTATAATAACAATGAACGTGCGTAAATGCAGAACAATAATTTATTATATTTTTATATCTATATTTTTTATTTCTCTAAATAACTGAATATATATTTGCATAAAATGTTCAGAATTTTATAATACAATTTGAAGATGAAAATAATATATTTTACCCATTTAATTATCAATGCAATTAATAGTGACACTAAATAATGAGTCAATAATCATATTAAAAAGATCTGATAGTTATATAACTACTGCCATCTGTCCAAAAACATAATGATCATTTTTCAATCGTCAATATTTTAGCAATTTGTATGATATAATAATTACAAGATATTGTGTAATTTAATTTTTTTACTATAACGTCTAATAAGAGAGGAACTTTTGTACAAGCTTATATACTTATTAAGATAGTTTAACAGAAATATGAAACTTCGAATAACCAAATTTATCAAAACTAGTACAAAATGTTTGCTACAAATTTTGTTGGCAGAATACTAGCAAAAATATAACAAAAGCTATTAATAGAATATGATTGCAGATTAATTGTAATATGCTGTCAAATTATATTAGTAGGCTTTACTAGTAGACCATTAGTATAATGGAAACACAGTCGATTAATTTACACAATGTTCTGATAGAACCTGCTAGCAGATCTGATACTATTAATAGTTTTAACATTTAGAGTAAGTAAAAAAATTGATGTAATCTTTTTCATAATTATGAAAAGATATACATCAAAATTTTTATATTAGATATATTCCAAAGATAGTGTTCATGGACAAAATATGCAATCCAAGATCTTAGTAATAAACATCTTTATTGTTTTAATGGAATTAAATGTAATTTCAGGAACTCCACCACAATATAATTTTTGCCATTCATGCATTTTAGATTGCCTTATGTATTTTAGTTTACTTAGAAATATAGTCTTTGAGAAAGACATGGAATACCATGTTCTTAATCTAAGCTGTATTTATAAAATATATTTACAAATTATATCATAAGCTTATTTTTATTATTGATTTATATACAAATTTTGTATATATATGTCATTTATACTATATACATACTACTATAGATGTATGTATATTAACTTATCATATATAAATATTAATATACATACATATGTACATATATATAGCATAAATTCTTTAACATAATTACAGGATATATACAATATAATCCCGATGTTGAAAGTCGATAATATAATCATAGCTCTTTGTATTTAATATATTTAGTATTTTTTATATAAAATACAGATGTTTTATGTAGATTTATATCATGTAATTATGTTAAACTAACATTTATTTTAATAAGCCCTCAATTAGTGATTTAATTGTTAATAATTTGATATTTTTTCTAAGAAAAATTCATAGAAGATTTCATAGGAGAGAGAACTAAATTTCCTTATTAAAAATAATTTTCCTTATTTTTTAAAATTAGTGGAGAGAAAATTTGATAACACATTTACGTTTATTATTCATCAATTTTTGTCTATATATTTATATGTTTAACAAATATTAATTTTATATAATACACAATCTTTGATACATTAATATAAAACCCTACTTACTTTGGCAAAGTAAATATCACATATATCTTTCAATTTACTGTTCCTTCTTACTAAGATAATGATGTTTAATAAATCTAGAACCCTGCGTAATTTGTGCACCCTCATTGACAATGTGGCAGGCAAATAGAAGCATGTTGCGTGGCTGCACCTTGATTGCAAATCTCATAAACATTGCTGAATATAAGCATAAGGCTGAAAAAGATCGGTCTTGAAAATTAACACCAAATAAATAGATACCATTATAGAATTTCCAAGAACTATTATCACATCAACTCTTATAAATTTCACAACAACATAGAAATAAAGATTTACAGTGAATCTTTATTATCTACTTTATACTTGAATAAAATTTAATACAAAACAAGTAAAAACAAAAATAATATTACATAATAAGAATGCCAAATATTTTCACTCTGATTTTATTAAATTGTTATAAATCTCTTATAGCTAGCATAAATACTCGTATAAGTACAAAATAGATGTAATGAATGTTGTCAAACAGCAAATGTATGTATGCCATAAAAAAACAGCTTAAGGACGTTCATCGACTGTAATCGTAGCCAAAAGTTTTCACCAACGTTCGGCTTTCTTTCCGTACAGCGCGACCGTCTCTCTACTTCACGATTTTTAGTGTAAATTATACACACTACACAATTAACGCGGCTCTGCGTTTTACATTTATACACGTGTACTAGCGCACTTTGTGAAAAACGAAGATTGGACAATGTTGCTTTTGTGAATGTATTGGCCGAAACGCTTCGAAATATCATCAGATGGAGAATTTCGGATTACAATTACGCATAAACGATACGGCTATGTATCCCTATCTTGTATATAATTATTCCTAATATCATTATGCATCATAGATTACTTTTTATTTTCAATTTCTATCACAATAAATTAAAATATCCCTGTATAGAACACGTTTCGCCTACGTCATACAAGTAACTTTGAATTTGATATTGAATATCTCGACTTTGGTACGAACACGTTTTTTAAAATTGAGCAGGCATATAGATAGCACTATTAATAGCATATGGTTCAAATGTGAAGCAAATACATAGAAAATCGATTTACCGATGAACGTCCTTAATATACGTTTACCAGAGACTCGACAGATGTGGACAAATGAAATTCATTGGCGCGAATTGAATTAATGGAAGGTAAACCGAGTCCCTCAAGTACTCAGAAAACTCGTGGATAAACTGCAATATGAATAAGAAAAGTGTATTAATCGAACTAACCAAGGGTCATTTTTCCACTGATGTACTTGGGATCTCTTTGAATATCAGCGATGGCAGCAATTGGTATCGCCCAGTTAGCAGCTGGTCCCCAGAAGTGTGTGCTGAAAGAAAAACAAACATCGTTCGTGTACGTAATATCTGATGCGCACACTTATAATTGTGACCTATACAATAAGTAGTAGTAGTTATATGGAGAATAATATAAGGGCGACTCTCAAAATTCTAGTTACTTTTGACATAGCAAACTTTCTTAAGAAGAGTACTTAATTTTTTTTATTATTTGTATGTGTATATGTTTATATATAATAGTTCATTGCCTCCTAATAATGTTTTCTTAAAGCAGCTGTGCTAAAAAGGTGTTCATACACATGCAGTTGTTGGATACACCACACAGGATCGTCCTTTATCTCTCTCGCTAATTCCTTTTGTTTCTTCCTCCGTTCTTCGAGCTGTTTTTATTAATGTACATTATTTTCTCATTGTTTAAAAACAATAAGAAAATCTTTGAAGATGAGTACGATAATGAATTTTGAATGATTTCACTTTAGCTGTATACCCAGATAGCCAAATCTGTCAGAACAGATTTCGTCAAGTGCCCAGTACAAATTTTCAAGGCAGAAAGACTGTAGATTGCATACAGGAACTGATATATTTGATATGTTGCCAGCGTGTCAGCAGAAATAACAAAATGCTCATATAATTGGACCTGGGAGTCAATTCTGTATCTTACAATATAGTGAAAATGCTAAGAGTGAGCGGCTTCGTCTCTTTCTAAGGGGACGACTAGAATAATAGTATTGAATGGTGGAATCTAAATCAAAATGACGATGCACTACGTTCTGTGCGAAATATTCTTGTGATCCAAAAACTAACAGAAAAGGGGAGATCGTGCTTTGATTAACTATTATATAAAATCAGTAAGATTAACTTTTTGAGCCACACGGAGCAACTGGTTTAAAATAATTGTGAAGTCAAAGTATTTGTTTGAACATTGCAATATTTAGTTATCTTTGAATGTTATATCTGTTTATTGTGTTTAAATATTTGTATTGCGTTTTTCAAATCAGTGTATCTTGATGACAGATTATTTTTCTGTGTTATACTAATACGCTTTCCGCTGAGAAATATGTTGATATGGAAATTTTCACTGTGTGGTCTAGAGAAGCCTTCCAACAAGTAGTAACATAGTAATGACTTAACATAATAAGAATTTTCTACTAAATCTATGTCACAAAAACACCGTCGGGTTAAGTACCCAAAATTGACCAAAATTATGAAAATCACCCATAACCATCATTTACCTCGTGAAATAGTCACGGGTTTCTTTGCTCTTGAGAACTTTCATAAAACGACTCATCTTGAATATTTGTCTTTTCACCAGCAAGAAATTGCTTACGTAAAGAAATTCGACGGTTTGGACTTTGCCTAGGATACAATCTATGGGGTGCACAGTGCATGTCAGAGTAGGGCCCGGTTTCACCAACGCGAGTTAATCTAATCGGTCGGTTAACTTAACAGGGTGCCAACATAAAACTTCTTTATTAACCTATTTTCTTGGTTAATAAAGAAGTTTTATGTTGGCACCCTGTCAAGTTAACCGACCGATTAGATTAACTCGCGTTGGTGAAACCGGGCCTAGGGATAGGCAATGTTTGTCGATTAATCGGTATAGTCGATTTTTTTACTAACAATCGATTATTCCGTCCGATGTTTTTGTTGTCCAATGCATCGATGCTCGATTACATCTGTTGAACATCGACGTTTTTCAAAAACTAATATTTTCTATTTAGGGCCGGTTTTTCCAACTGCTTGGCAAAATAACTAATGCGGGATTCACACTGGGTCCGATATTCAATACGATTGATTCTTACTTTTGGTTCCTCGTGGGATCTAAAAGTATAAACCAATCATATCGGATATTGGATCCAGTGTAAAGCCTATCACACAATGCCAGGCAACAGGCAATAGGAATAGGCCCGGTTTCACCAACGCGAGTTAATCTAATCGGTCGGTTAACTTGACAGGGTGCCAACATAAAACTTCTTTATTAACCTATTTTCTTGGTT